AGGGAAAGAAAAATAAAAGGCTGTGGGGCAGACCAAGAGGATGTGGAAATCATGTATCCACACAACTAGGGGACCTACCAGGCACCAGTAGGGGACCATGGACACATAAGGGGATGGGAGGAACCCCCAGTGACCAGCTTGTGGGATCTTGGTTCCCAGGCCAGAGGTCGGGCCCGAGCTCCTGTGGTGGGAGCTCTGAGTCCAAACCACTGGACTAACAGAGAACCTATGATCCCAGGCAATATTAATTAGAGTGAGGCCTCCCAGAGGTCCTAATCTCAGCACCAAGACCCAGCTCTATCCAACTGCCTGCAAACTCCAGTGCTGGATGCCTCAGGCCAAACAACCAGTAAGACAAGAATACAGCCCCACCCATCAAAAAAAAAAAAGAAGAAGAAATGACAAAAAAAATATGTCACAGATGAAGGAGCAAGGTAAAAACCTACAAGACCAACTAAAAGAAGATGAAATAGGCAACCTACCTTAAAAAAAGAATTCAGAGTAATGATAGTAAAGATGACCCCAAATCTCGGAAACAGAATGGAGAAAATACAAGAAACACTTAACAAGGATCTAGAAGAACTAAAGAGCAAACAAACAATGATGAACAACACAATAACTGAAATTAAAAGTACAATACAAAGTACTCTAGAAGGAATCAATAGAATAACTGAGGCAGAAGAACAGATAAGTGAGCTGGAAGATAAAATGGTGGAAATAACTGCCAGGGAGCAGAAAAAAGAATGAAAAGAATTGAGGACAGTCTCAGAGGCCTCTGGGACAACATTAAACACAGCAACATTCAAATTATAGGGGTCCCAGAAGAAGAAGAGAAAAAGAAAGAGTCTGAGAAAATATTTGAAGAGATTATAGTCGAAAACTTCCCTAACATGGGAAAGGAAATAGTCAGTCAAGTCCAGGAAGCACAGAGAGTCCCATACAGGATAAACCCAAAGAGAAACATGCCAAGACACATATTAATCAAACTATCAAAAATTAACTACAAAGGAAATATATTAAAAGCATCAAGGGAAAAGCAACAAATAACATACAAGGGAATCCACATAAGGTTAACAGCTGATCTTTCAGCAGAAACTCTGCAAGCCAGAAGGGACTGGCAGGACATATTTAAAGTGATGAAAGGGAAAAACCTACAAACAAGAATACTCTACCCAGCAAGGATCTCATTCAGATTCAAAGAAGAAATTAAAACCTTTACAGACAAGCAAAAGTTAACAATTCAGTACCACCAAACCAGATTTACAACAAATGCTAAAGGAACTTTTCTAGGCAGGAAACACAAGAGAAGGAAAGGACCTACAAAAACAAAACCAAAACAATTAAGAAATGGTAATAGGAACCTACATATCAATAATTACCTTAAATGTAAAAGGACTGAACACTCCAACCAAAAGACACAGACTGGCTGAATGGATACAAAAACAAGACCCGTATATATGCTGTCTACAAGAGACCCACTTCAGACCTGCAGACACATACAGACTGAAAGTGAGGGGATAGAAAAAGATATTCCATGCAGATGGAAATCAAAAGAAAGCTAGAGTAGCCATTCTCATATCAGACAAAATAGACTTTAAAATAAAGCCTATTACAAGAGACAAAGGACACTACATAATGATCAAGGGATCAATCCAAGAAGAAGATATAACAATTGTAAATATTTATGCACCCAACATAGGAGCACCTCAATACGTAAGGCAAATGCCAACAGCCATAAAAGGGGAAATTGACCATAACACAATCCTAGTAGGGGACTTTAACACACCCCACTTTCACCAGTGGGCTGATCATCCAAAATGAAAATAAAAAAGCAAACACAAGTTTTAAATGAGACAATACACAAGATGGACTTAATTGATATTTATAGGACATTCCATCCCAAAACAACAGAATACACGTTCTTCTCAAGAGCTCATGAAATATTCTCCAGGACAGACCATATCGTGTGTCACAAATCAAGCCTTGGTAAATTTAATAAAATGGAAATCATATCAAGTATCTTTTCTGACCACAACGCTATAAGACGAGATATCAATTGCAGGAAAAAAAGAATGTTAAAAATACAAACACATGGAGGCTAAACAGTACACTACCAAGAGATCACTGAAGAAATCAAAGAGGAAACCAAAAAACTACCTAGAAACAAATGACAATGAAAACATGACAATGCCACATGTCTGAGATGCAGCAAAAGCAGTTCTAAGAGGGAAGTTTATAGCAATACAATCCTACCTCAAGAAACAAGACACATCTCAAATAAACAACCTAACCTCACACTTAAAGCAGTTAGAGAAAGAAGAACAAAAAAAAAACCCCAAAGGTAGCAGATGGAAAGAAATAATAAAGATCAGATCAGAAATAAATGAAAAAGAAATGAAGGACACAATAGCAAAGATCAATAAAACTAAAAGCCAGTTCTTTGAGAAGATAAACAAAATTGATAAACCATTAGCCAGACTCATTAGGAAAAAAAGGAAAAAGACTCAAATCAACAGAATTAGAAATGAAAAAGGAAAAGTAACAACTGACACTGCAGAAATACAAAGGATTATGAGAGATTACTACAAGCAACTATATGCCAATAAAATGGACAACCTGAAAGAAATGGATAAATTCTTAGAAATGCACAACCTTCCGAGACTGAACCTGGAAGAAAGAAAATACGAACAGACCAATCACAAGCACTGATATTAAGACTGTGATTAAAAATCTTCCAACAAACAAAGGCCCAGGACCAGATGGCTTCACAGGTGAATTCTATCAAATGTTAAAAGAAGAGCTAACACCTGTCCTTCTCAAACTCTTCCAAAATACAGCAAAGGGAAGAACACTCCCAAACTCATTCTACAAGGCCACCATCACCCTGATACCAAAACCAGACAAAGATGTCACAA